ATCGCTACGTTCGTAATATATATAATAAACGATTAGGGCTCCTTCTGACACACACATAAGTACATAATAGAATAATTTTGGATACTAATCTGGTATTTTGGAATCTGGAGATATCATTAAACATTTTGCTTGTATCGTTTTACTTGGTATAGTCACAGACGAGCTTTACATTTCGACATTGAAAGTTTGATAACACTGCAATGAACAAGAAATCATATTGCTGGCGCATTTATTAGTTCCCCAACTCACCGTTATTTAAACGTAGAGTGCGCTAAGAAACCAGTAATTTTTTTTACTTTGTCGGTATTTCAGGTCACGATTCACGAAATCTCGTAAGATACTTGGTCTATTCATATACCTCGTCTGAGGTGGTAGAATGCGCTATGTCGGTATTTCAGAGCATGGGACACAAAGTCCCACAAGATACGAGTAATGCACTCACCTGTTGATAGCTTAACTGATTGTTCGAAAGATCGCGCCACTGCTTTACGCCCAATAAATTTAAAATCACAATCGTACATATGAAATTATTTACTGCTTTCAAACCACTTTCAAAGATAAAACATTTGATTTTCAATATAAAGTTTATTTCCAAATAATACATTAATAATGCAGTAATCTCTAGAATCAGAAGAATATTCATCATAAAAAAGAATTCTTGACATTCATGCTCCTTTTACTCAAATTTTACGATGAATACTTTTCTTCCGTAGGTTGCCATTCATTATCGTATACCGGATGTATTACACTCGTATCGTAATTATTCGCTATATAATTTGTTGAAGCAACATGCTCATTATCCACGTAATTAACAACTGCTCTCGAATCAGTCACATAATCTCTCGAATCATCACTTCGATAAGGATTAGTTTCGATGGTGTAGTTATCAGATTCTGAGCGCAATAACGGTTCCATTTCTTTATCGTTCTCCACATCAGTGACATTGTTAGTTAAATATTGGTGCCTCCCTAGTTCCTCGCGATTGCTGTAATTCCAGTCTGGACGTGTAAAGTTAGAATTAATAAAAGGATATTTGTAAATGTGATAATTAGTAGATTCCGTCCTCGGTGCAGGTTGTTCTGCGTTAAGGGATGAATTTTTCGATGTCGTGATATGCTCTGTTTTCTCAAGACCGTTTGTTATGAATCGTCTTCCAAAGCTACGACCCCAGCCACCACCACCTGACGGTGGACCATAGCTCGAAGGTGGTGGAGCACCATAATCACCACCTCCTCCTCCGCCACCATAACCACCGCCTCCTCCTCCACCATGACCACCTCCTCCACCATAGCCACCTCCACCTCCTCCTCCACCATAACCACCTCCACCACCTCCGCCTCCACCAGCTTTTGTTAGAAGGACAATTTCTTTGTATTGACCTGAAAATATTAAAATAATATTGCATTCAATTCGTATCGGTATTTTTTTTTCGTATCAATACTTGATTGAAAACATTAATAATTTATGACACCATTACCTCCACCACCGTGGCCTCCTCCACCGCCTCCTCCTTTCATGTACTTTTGCATCAACATTGCCATGGATATCATCATAGACATCCCACCCATCATCATACCTTTCATCGTTGCAATTCCTGATTTTTATAAATTTAATTAGGTATTTCGAAGTGTCGTAAAGCAATAATAATAATAGAGTAATAATTCGTGCGTTTACCCATGAATTTCATTTTGAGCATCATAAGTCCAACCATCATCATCGTCTTACATTTGTCGCCTTTGCCTTTGCCTCCTTTTTTACATCCGCCGCCTCCTTTTTTACTTCGGCCTAAAGTTATTTTAATCCATTAACAATGATGCAATAATTTCTACCAATGTTATAAATAGTTCAGTGTCTTGAAATTTCATCGATCAAGAAAGAAGGTTGAACCTTCTTTTGATCGTTATTTCCGTAACAGAACTTTGCAATTTTACAAACCTTCAAAACCAGGAGTTTCGTCAAACATAACATCTATCTGATTCTTTTCTTGTTTCCCGTTCCATTTTGGTAGTGTAATTCTCAAAGCAAACGTATCAAAGAAATCGTTGATACTTCGTTCTATAACGTCGTTGCTATCATTCGCGAATCTACGATCGTTAATCACTCTAGTTTTCACCAGTTTAACATTTTGACCCATTAAATAAATCTCGTTTAAATCCCTGATAGACTCCAGGAATCGACCAAGACGTTTCCTCGCGCAGATTAACGAGAGATCGATAACACAGCGGCTTATGTCTGTTGTTGGGAACTCCGGGAAGCCATCGTCTTTCGCAGAATCGTTTTTCAACGACGGTACCACTCGAATATCCACTCTGAATCCGTTTCTCCGGAAGTCGAACACTTGCCGACCGGTGTTACTAAAAATTTCAACGTTAATCAATAACAGTATACTACCGCAGAAATGTCAATTATCAAAATCAGATCAATCATCATTTTGTCTCCGACTATCATTTCTCGACTATCGAATTCCTCTAATTCGTTCGTTTATCAGAATCTACCGTATTCAGAGTAGGTTCTGACAAATAAGTCAACCTTCGTCCCATTTAATAATTTATTTCTGCAATTCCTCCACTTATCAAAGACTACGTAATACCGAAAAAGATAGTAAAACGAAAGCAACGATTACAAAACAAATTTCACAGTACTATTGACGAGCGATGGTCCCAGCAGGATCCACATCAACGTTTCCATCCGTGTACGTTCCATTGTTGACTTGACTATGAACTTGTTCGACGATCGAGAGAACTAGAACCACGATGAATATCGTTCTGTGCACTATGTGAACGACCTTCAACGTTGACATCGCTCGACGTGCGATGATCGATCTCACACTTTACCCTCAGCAAACACTGACTTCCGTCAGATCGTAATCGCTTAAATACGATAAGATTTATGTCACTCGTCGGATTTTTTCAACGACTTGTCACGATTGCCATTTACCAGTGCACCAGGAAAATAATGTAATGATACGTTTGCTTCGTAGCTTAGTCTCGCCGTGGTTCCTAGTTTGCGGAATAGAGTACCGCCTTTCGAGATTTCAGGGACAACTCAATGATTTCCTACGAGAGAAATAATGAGTATTCGAGATCTAATCTGTAGAGCTGAAATATATTTTTTGTCAGCTTCTTCAGAGCTGTGTCATGGTTGAGATTTGGTCTGTTTATATTTGAATAATTTATATCGATTTATAAATAGATTCTAAATAGAAATTTCTCATAAAATATTTTATAGAGTACTTTATTCGGTGTTCTCAATGCATATTGTATACTATATTTTATATATTTTATTTGCAACATTATATCACATTTTATGTGTATAAATGTATTATAGTTTGCGTTATATTATATATATTAAAATCCATAAATTTTTGTGCCATGTATATCAATAAATCTCAAGATTGAATTCCAGTTTAATCTGAATTTCTAAGAGAGATCTCTATCGTTCCAAACTAGGTAACGCCAGCGTGTTAAAAAATTCCTCCCCATTCCTTCTTGATGAAGAACAGTCGGTTACACCTGAGAAATCATAACCACGGGTACCTTGGTGATCAGAGAATGTCCAGGAAGCCTAATGTATGCGTCTAGAAAGGGACGACCTTGTTTCGCATGAATTTAATTAAGTGTTACCACTCGTCTTGCAATTACGATCCGACGTATATAATTTTCCTCGCAGCGGACCGAGGCGAAGAGCAGCTTTTACTTCGCGTGAACTGCTATTCGATTTGATCCATCTTTTCTTCGACTATAATCAACCATTATATACTGAACCAAACGAAAGAAAGGAAGAAAATATTGAAAGACTCAGATTTGATTCTCCTTGCGAGTGTAAAACGAACTTGCAAGAACGAATTGACCAGGCAACTTCTTAAAAATATGATTTTATTAAAACTTTACAATGCGTATAAATGCATATAAATAACAATGGAGAGGGATCATGTACATGATTCGAAGATGGTCCATGTGCAACGACGCTCAGCTCGAGCCGTGTGACCGTGGGTAATAGAGGTACGTGGGAGCATGCTTCGCAAATAAATACCTACGAATCTACGGGTATAACGTGGTGATGGTGATGGTGATGGTGATAGAGAAAGAGAAGAGAACGGAGAGCGATGAAATGAGACCAAGCGAGACGACGGAAGTGACGGATAGAGGCGCGAGCAACAAGAAAGCGAAACGAAGTTAAAGATCGGAGTAACGCGAGGGAAAAGTAGGAGGGACAGAAGAGTGGCTGGCGGTGGAGAGCGCGATGAAGAGGAGGTGGAGCAGCAGCTAGATACAGATCGAAAGGAACTGTGAGGTGTGAAAAAAGAAGATAAACGGAAACAAAGTGGACTCGGTGAGGTAGAGACGTGCTACTAGATCTGTCACGTGCCACCAGCCGCTCCTCGCTGGCGGCTTCTCTAATCACCAGTTCGTTAATTTTGCCGGAACAACGATCGACGGTCCCTTGCGTTGCCATATTTCAAAACGGCCTGCTGAACGCTGTCGTGAATCGTGTCTAGAGATCGTCCGTATCCAGAATGTCCATAGCCGTGGCCGTGATGCTCCTCGGAGCTGTGAGTGTGAGAACTCGAGTATACGGGTTTACTGACAATTTCATAGGTAGTCTTCTTCTCGCCACCACTAGCCAAAGATTTCAAGCCAACGATGGCTGACAACATGAGGGCCATCAGACCGGTCATCAGGGCTTTGCCGGCGAGTAGGGCCAGGGCACCGAAGCCGATAGCGCCAAGGGTACCTTTCATCATCATCAGGCCAGCCATCAAACCATTCATACCGCCCTTCTCCTTCTTACGTCCTGTGTGACGACCAATGAAATCGTTATCACGCTCCTATTCACGTTAATCTCTGCCTGAAAAAAAAAGGAAATTAATATCTTACCAGTTCCGACACTCTGCCCGCCACCAAGTCCAAGCTGGGCCAGCGTCTCTTCGTTAAAGTTCCTAGCAGCCTCGAAGGTCCTCGGATCGAACAGTTTGATGGATATCGAGTGGCTGTGTAGGTAGCTTCCGACCTTGTGAATCAGATACGCGTCCAGCCTCTTCTCCACGTCGTTGGGGAAATCTCTAGCCAGATTGGCGACCACCTCGGAAGCCGGCATACTGGCAGAACTATTCTCCTTGATCACCGACACTCCCGGTAGGATGCTGATGTCCTCCTGCTCGGATAATCTATCTAGGAAGGACACCACGTCTAGCTTGAGACAGGTGGCACTGTAGGATTTGCCACAGTCCTTGCTCAAGGTAGACGCCAAGCTCTCCGGAGATTCCTCGACCATTTGCTTCGGGGTACGTCTTTCAATCTCGCCGACGACGGAACCGACGAGAAGAAGAGGCAGCAGCAACAGCAGCAGCGCCTGCTGACGATCGACCGACGATTGACCGAGTACCGCGAATCCCTTCATCGTGCTGCGTGTATTTTGCGACGTTTCTATAGAGTCGGACGCGAGAAATCCTGATGTTCGAGAGATCCTGTTGGAGAACGTCCGGCAGCGCGAAACGAACTTGTTGCTCGAGATTAAGATTCGATCTGCTGGCTGAAGCTGACGGATGAGACGCGTACTCTGCACTGGACATACCCTCGAATAGTTGCAGTATATATAGAGCGAGTCACCGGGTAGTCCTTTTTCCTTTTTGCCTTTCGGCCTTTCCATACATTCTCCTAAGTCGAGAGCAACGTGTCGGCGACGGTGTGCTCTCTTCTTTCGCGGTGGTCCAAGAGAGGAGGCGAGGGGCCCTCCCGCAGCCACCACCGCCGCCACCGCCGCCTCGACTGTACGTGGCGAGAGGGAGCGTCAAATAGAGCGGAGAATTCGAATCTGTCGAATTTACGAGAGAGAAAAAGGATGCCGGAGACGCTCTAATGAGAGCGAAGCCTCGTGATCTTGGACGCCCATTCAATCCTCGCTACCGGGAGCATCTCATTGAATTCGTTCGATGATCGTTTTGGGTGCTACGCGACCGGACTTTCTTCGATATCGATTCCGTTTGCTCTAGAAATCGTTCTCCTCGCTATTCTAGATTATACGTATATCACGCTTTGTACGCGGATTACAGGAATTATAGATTACAACAATTGTCAAGAAACGAAATCGGCTTTCTGCCTCTATCGATAGCTCTGTCCTGTTCAATTATACTCGATGTCGAGTAAATGGACATCTATATTAACATTTAATTCCTAGTTTCATCCGGTAAAAGTAGATCCTGAACTGTTTCTATCCGTTTACTTCAGCAGACTGCTAATTGTAGCAACGATTCTCGTTGCGTTTAAACATAACAAACGATCGGATCGGTTGCGATCACGGATCGATTGTGGCCGATGGATGGACAGTGACGACCCGGCGTGAACCACTTTCGATCTCGACGACGAAATCGAGGCGGTCGACAACCGTCCATCCGATAAAATCGATGCCTGCTCGTTCGGCTAAGCAAACGAAGCGTCTGAATATTTAGGGAAATTATAAAGGGAGAGGGAAATCGCGAAGCGTTATTTCCCTCGACTGAGCGAAACGAAACGGAGAAGGCCTACTTTAAATTAGCCCAGTTAACTCGCGGGAGATCGGATTTTCGCGCGCTACGCTCGAACGACGACGGCTGCAGACGGATCTGACGGCGAGAAAGTGCGCGGCCAATTTTCACGGGATCCACTCGCGAGCGCAGCATTCGACGATTTAATACGCTTTGGAAATCGCTCGGTCGTTTACGCGCCCGTGGAACTCGCATGATTTCAGGCTCGACACTCTGGCCGATTTTTATCGAACTTTTGTTCGCTCAATCGCGTGATGGATTTTAATGAGGAATTTTTTTCGAACGATTTCGGGGAAGAAGAATTGAAAGTAACAAATAGAATGTAGTATAGTGGATACGGTATATTTATTTGAAAAAAGATAAAATTTTTTCGATTTGTATCTCGAGCATTTTTCGGTATTTTTTGTCTCTGAAACATTAATTAATTCTCAAACAGTGAAATACTCTTACATCAAAATGTCTGAATGAAAATATACTAATTTCAGTTTAAGACCAAGGTCTTATGATTTTCTTTAACTATTAATCTTCAGTTTGAAAAATGAAAATTGAATATTCAAAATCATATCCCATAGGACTGCAATTTGCTTTTTCTTCCAAAACGACATCGCAATTCTTACCACGAGCGTAACTCAGTACTATAATTCAAAGGGTTAATTGAGGATTACTCCTCCAAACTATTGACAATCAGTATGTTATTTTCAACACCCGGAGGTTGGCTGGAATTTCACCAAACGTTTAAAGCTGGCATGATACAAATTCGAGAAAAATTTCCGGACTCAATTTGAAATTATCCACGTCAATAGGGCGTGCAGTTTCGAGCGTGGTAAATTCGCAGCGCGTTAGACGATCTAACGTGGATGTTTCGTACAACCGAGGCGACGCGCTCGCATGCTCGGTCAGCAGGTGTGTCGGAAAGAAGAGGATTAGCCTTCTTCTTCAGATATCTATTTCACCACTTGTTACTTCCTTTTACCACGGCGCCTTCCTTTCGTTAATAATCGCACCATCTCCGCTGAGCTACTCTTCTTTCGATCCAGCGCAGCGTACAGCCAGCCAGTCGCTCGATCCTTGGCGATCGTTGACCATCCTAGAAATTCTCACGATATCCCAATACCTTTTCCCAATTAATCTGTCAGACGAATGAAAAGTGAAACTTTATTTAAGTTGGAGACGAGACAATTGGTTCGAGAGTTTGCTACGACGTTTGCATCGATTAGATTCGATTCGATTTTCGTCGGTCGATCCTGGTCACGCCTTTCCAATTCAGTCGACAGGAATCGATCGATCGCACGCGAACTGTGCCGCAAGTGAAACGTGAATGGGCGCTCTTGTTCGTCCATAACTGTTCCTCCGTATACTGTTACTATTCTTTCACTATATTTGATACGTAATTTGAGCGAGCATTCGGGCCTCGGCCGAATTTCATCGCGTATCGTTAAATCTTCCTTCAACATCCTCCCATTGTTGAAAGTCAGAATAAGCTAGATGCGAAGAGAAACATCTCCAAAGACATTTCCTACCCCGCTTTCCAGAATCCGCGAAAGCGAAAATTAAATCCATTTGACGGCTTTACGAGCAATTTGCAATTTCATAAGTGTCCTTAATCCTCTGTCCGAGCGTTTCTCCAGCCATCGTCCGAATGATATAACAGAATTCTCACCACTTCTCATCTGTTTGATTTGACAAAATGAAACGCGTTGCAACGAACTGGTCGATGATGATCGATCGGGCTTACCTGGCGGAAGGATTTCAATTTCGCAGCAATTAACACTAAAATCAGGAAAAACAACGAGACGATCGAACTGCCCATTCAGTCAATGGCCGTTCAATTTTATCCTATTGTTCCTGTCTGCGCCAGATCTTATTCCCTATTTCTTCTTGTATCTCTATCATTCTGTTTCATACGTGTTCAGCACTCTGAATTTTATTCAACATTTGATTGTTATACATTAGAAACGGTAAACGTAATTGCACCGACTGATCGCGCGCGGGTAGCCTATTTTCGCTTCGAAAATCGAGATGAACGTCGAGAAAGTTGCAAATGCGCAAGGATCGCAAGAATGATGCCCGAAGATCGACTGGCGATCCTCGAAAGAGATCGGTGCGATCGTTTCCTGCACAGAATCGCCGGTGAACGGCGCGTTATTTGGAAAACCGTGTCGCTCGAAACGAGGAGCGGCCGTCTGTCTGACCATGACGGATCGTTTCACTGTCTCGCGCGAAATTGGGCGTCTCCCAATAGATTTGGAGCTTTCAGTGCATAAAACAACCGTGTTGATGGTACATTTTATAATATTATTTATTTGTGCTTTTGTTTTTTTTTTTACTTTTATTTAAAAATATTTTCGTAGAAACAGCATACTTATATTATTTATTTTGTATTGTTTTACTAGAAATACTTTCGTAAATTTGCAGTATCGCAAAAGATACAGGTGCTCTGATTTCTCTGAAATCTATCGAATATTGGAAATCTCTCAACGTTGAAAAATATTTGCACTTATGAAAGCATTGCAATTCACGCCAGGTCAACGTTCCAATTTGAATATGGATTGATTAAAGCTGTCCTGTAATTCACTTTTGCACCGAACGGAGTGAATTCATTACGGTTTCCACGCAGTTTTAGTCCACATCTTCTCGGATAATAGTCGAGGATCCGGTTAGTTTAATGTTCTCCAATTGGTTGCGCGAATGCGTTCGCGTTATCGAGTCGTGTGTCCGGTGGAACGAGAAAAAACCAAGGTGCATCGACAACGACTGATGGTTGCTGGCCGAGTGGCTGCGTAGACCCCGTTAATTCGAGAACGAGCATCCGTTATGTGCTGAAAATGCATCGTGCGCGATCATACTTTCGCATTTTTTTTTTTTTTTTTTAAGGCCAATTCACGAACGTCATGTATTTTTCATTCAACTAATGCATTTAACCATCTAATTCATCTTTTTAGGTTGAATTCTCGTGAAATCTGTTGGCTTTTGAGAAAGTTGATTAGGTGTGTTTAATTTTAAATTATTTGTGTGTTAATTTATAAAATGATGAATATATATCGACTTAATTTATGAAAAATGGAGAAATAGATTATACATTAAATAGTTCTGTTGCTCCATTCATCGAAGAATACGTTGCTTTAACAGCTATGTATATAATTCAAATGACGTGAGATCTGCGCGAAAAGTATTTCTCAAAATTAACGAAACGTAGTCGACGAAGTTCAGATTTGAAGTTACAAAAAGAAGTTACAATTACTCATTCTTCAATAAGAAAAAGACCTAACATGTCTTTCGCCAACAAAAACAGATCAACTGTTTAAATAAAACAATTCTTCTCTACCGAAGAAGATATTCCAGACGTTCCTAAAATATTTCCAAAAGAACTCCAAACGAAACGCCGATACTGATCAACTCCGTAGGTCGACAATACCCTAACCGAGCATTCCACTCATCAACTTCTTCTCGCCTCGAGTTCTCCAGGCTCTTGACAGTGCTGTCCTCTTGATCGGCTCGTATATACCCAAGGTTTCTGCCCTCACCACGCGACATAATCACAAACGATACCGTTACTCGCCACTTCCCCACGCTGAAGAGGGGCAACGATCACCTGGCAAAGAGGGGAGGACGGTGGAAGGTGGGAGCGCACGTGGAGGCAATGACCCAGTGCCCTTGATCCTGAGAATTCATCGACGGGGGAAACAGGCACGGCCAATCGCGTCGGCTCGGCCACTTTTCCCACCTTTCCTGTCACAGTGACCTCGATTCCTTCCTGTTCCTACTCCCGCTACCTGTTCCTTCCTCCCTACCTGGCGCGCTCTCTCCGCCGAGCGCGTTGCACGACTTCTATTTGGGTCGTTAGCCTTCCCCTACGCCGTAGTAACCTGCTTACCTCGGCGATTATAGATCTTCCAATTATTTATTTATTTATTTAATTATTTTATTTGCCGATGGCGATCCGCTCGAGCGGAGAACCGGACGGAAAGGAAAGTGCTTCATCTTCGGTATGTTTTGACGGATGACGGGCTGAAAGGCACACCGTCAGAATTCTAGGAACGAGATAACAACGACGAATAACACGAAGGACGTGAAAGGAAATTGAAAGGAAAGACTAAAAAGAGTAAAACTGTGAAAAAGAGAGAGAACGTGATGATCTTTATTTGATAAAACGCGAGTAACAGAGAAGAGACAATAAATAAAATGAGGCGATGAGAGGATGAATCTTAATTGGGAGGTCGAATTTAAGGGATGTCTTGGTAGGGATACTGCTCGGGTCCAAATTCTGGTGCCCAGCCTTTGTACGGTTGATTCACCTCTTCCTGAGACCTGTGCCAGTGATCGTGGTGAATCTCGGGTTTCACAATTCCGTAAGTGACCCTGGCAGGATAAGCAGGTGGTGGTGTTAGCAGAGCCTTCAGAGCGACCGCTCCGGAGAGAAGAAGGGACAGTAGACCTGCACCGAGTCCCTTGATGCCTACCAGACCGATCAGAGTGATGACGATGGGCAGGACGATCAAGGCTTTGAGTTTCAGGGCCAGTAGAATCGGCAACGCGATCTTCTTCAGCCTGGTTCGAGCTGCAACGAAAGCGAAACACAAAAATGCAAAATTTAAAATCCTGCGAATATTTCAACAACAAATTCAGAAAGAACATAAGCGTCTATTAACGCATGTCAATAAATTCGATGGGTCCAATGGATCCAATGGATCGTCAAGTGAAATTCATCAAGGATCTGGAAAGGGTATATCTAGGAGCCTTTAACGGCCACTTATCGACTATCTACTTTCTTCGACATGTAGCACTCTCGTTCAAGGTCCTCGTTCGTCGTCTTCTCTCTTCTCTCTTCTCGGCGTTCGTCCCAGAAACCCGGAATCCCATCGCGATCCACTTTGTCCCGTTCCTCCTGCCACAGCCACAGTTTTCGCGGATACGAGCAAAGTGGGACGATTGTACGCGGCTTTCCATGCTCGTCACGCTACTACTTTTGCCCCCTCTCCGACCATTCGTCGCGTTCCGAACATTTATTTCTTCCGCGACTGGAAGATCGCGCCCCGTCCAGTCGATTCCGGGGAGAAGAGAAAAAAAATCTGTGGAAAAGAGGCCGAGAAAAAGAGGAGCAGGCAGAGGTGTCGGTCGAGGTCGGCGAAGCCAATCGGAAGCCTCGCTATCGGAAGTCCCACTTTACGGCCAATCGTCCCTCGTCTTCGTGGCTTACTTCCATCGTATTGGAGAGAGTTTAGAAAGGCGAGGTAGTATAAGTTCGTCGCTGTGGATCGGTTCGTTCACAGCGCAGACTCGACGCATCCCAAGATCTAGCCGCTTGCACACCGTCAAACCGGTAACAAGAAGTGCCCTCCACCATGGAATTTAGCTCCTCGAGATCGCTTTGGGAGATCATGAATATTTATCCTTCTTTTCGATGTATTACGCTTTGGTATTCGAGACGCTGAGTCTCGAATATGCTGAAGACGTTAATGTAGGCTTAAGGAGAGATCGAAGGAATACTTGTCGTAGAAAGTTCCTTCGAGCTTTCTTCGCGATGAATTCTTGCTCCTTCTGTTTACAATGATTCTTTTTTCACCGAGACTTTGATGTGCATCGTAAACAATTACGTAGCACATCGAAAGTCAGTCTACGCTTGAAATCTTCGAAGCTACAATTACGTACAGAGTCAATTGAATACTTTGAACTTTACATTTGCTACTGTGCTATGTGTGCATAGTGGATTGTTCGAAAATGTGGAAACTATTCCTTAAGTAGAAAGAATTGTGTTCTAATTTCAGTATTAATTTCGAGGAGTTTGAAAATGAAATGACTCTCGAAGATCCCAAATTTCTTCACTATCATTCTCGAAGAGTTTATAAATGAAACGACTTTTGAACACCTCGAATTTCTTCGGCATTGCTTCACAGTTTAAAAATAAAACGTCTGTCGAATATCTGAAATTTCTTCAATTGAATCGAAAATTTTCTGACTTTGAGTTGATACTTCCGATACTAATCTTACCTTCGGAAGCTCCCGTTGTTAAGCTTCTAAGCTCAATCGCCACATCTTTCTGGCCCAAAGCTCTTCCGAACATGTCAGCGGAAGATCCATCGCTAGGTAGACGCACGTGAATTCTTCTGCTCCTCAAGAACTCTTCGATCTTGCTGACTAGAGGATCCTGGCTACCTCTTCCAACAGTCTCTCCATTCTCCGCAAACTCCACCTTCTCCAAAGTGATCATATCACCGTAGATCTTGATGGTGTCTCTTTTATTCAGTTCGTCCATCGTTTCGGTTAGCCTGATCTCCGCGTTCCTGGCGTCTTCAGCCATGACGAACGCAATAGGAAACAACGCCAATATCGCGATCAATGGCTTCATACTGGTGATCGATTCGCTATCGAACAAGACGGACACTAGGATTTTGACTGTTTGCCCCGGGGGCAATTTTTCTTTTATACTTCGACTGGTGATCGATGGTGGGGCCAGTTTGAACCATTTGGCAAGCGACGTGCAAGGGCCGTGGTGTCGAGAATTTTAATTTCCACGTCTCACCGCCTGGCCACTGTACAACGGGTACGTCCTCGCGACGTATCGTCTGCCGATAGAAACTAATTTTCCTTTTCAGAGGGATCACTTTCGAACGGTCTATCTGTCTACGATGTGTGTTTAAATTAGCGATCTGTGATCGACCGAAAGTAAAAATCAAACGGAATACCAATTTTATTGCCTTTCCAAATGGTAAAAGTCTGGCGTATCAGAGCTCTTGAATATCGATTGTATTATTTCCTTTTCTTTTTTCTTTTTTTTTTTTGGAGTAAACTTTGACAAGTGTTGTCTCCCTCGTTTGAATTCGGCTTCGATCGACTAATTGTTTACTTCAGGAGAAATATAAAGATTTGTAGAAACTTTGAGGATGAATGGCACGTCGAGTGTCCTTAGAGCTATTGAAAAGCGGGAAAAGTCGATGGTTTGTCGAAGGTGCGACTGATTTGCTTTAGAGAAAACTAGGAAACGTTCTCTCAAGCAGCTTATTTACCACCGGGAGAAATGTGGGAAATTAGTAGCGTGATTTATTCGAAAACCAACCCGTGCAGCTCTTGTTCCACCTGTTTGACCTGTGAAACTCTCTCTGTAAATTCCGTCCACGAAACGGCAAAGGACAGAGAACAGCCCCGAACTTCAGCCGTACATATGTATAATGGAACGTCGCGTTTTCGTACTTTTAATATGAGAATAAAAGAGAGGCGCCGAAACGACCGTTTCCTTTGTCCAAGTTGGCACAATGGGCGAGTTTTCCGCAAGCAGAATCCGCGCTTTCAATCGTGTGGCTCCGACAATGACTGCCGTGCCACTCCCGCGTGTTCCTCGCGGTACATCATATTCACGAGACGGTTGGTAATAAGTTCCTCGGTGAAAATTAGATTCTCCGTGCCTGTTGGCGCGTGTGACACAGAACCGCATGCAAAACCAACCGGCGTGTGTCCCGAATCTGTTTTCGGTCGGAAGCAGGCGAAGGAGGGAAGAGAAGAGAGAATGAAATGGAACGATGAGCGATGAACGGGGAGAGAGAAGGCGCGAAAATAGGATACAACGAGCGAGTGGGAGTGCAAACGAAGCGCAAGTATGTCCGATCGGAATGGCATATGAGCCAGACCGATTGTCGGTCCGATCTGCCAACATATTTCGATATTTCGCGCGTCGCGTCAGGCAAACACTAATCACGTACCGAGCGTTTTCTATGCACCTTCGCGTCTCGCATAGCTGACACGTGCATGAATAATTCTCTTCAAACTAGAAATCGTCCCTGCTTTCGACCCACCGGTGCCTGAAGAAAGGAAAACCGTGTCAAAACGATCAACTCCGCCTTGAGTTTCACAATTGATTGGAGCCAGCTACGCGATTAATCAATATCAAAATCTCGAAAGAAACTTTTTAAAAAATGATGCCCGTAACTGTATCCCTTTGCTATACTGTTCCAATTTTGGAGCTGGTCGAGGATTTCCAATTTTTCGAGTAATTCGAATGCGAAAAATATGACGATCAGATAATCTACAGTGATAGAAATAATTTATTAATTACAAAAGATTTTCAATAATTTACTCGATCCATAAGTTATTTGTTTGAATATTAATCTAGCAGTCGAGAACAAGTCTAGAGTGTATTACACACACACACACATACACCAGACTCGGAATGTATGGCGTTTGGGTAGCCCAGATTCTTTCGTTCCTCATAAAACGTGGACTCGAGATCGTCGTCTTCTTTTAATTGGTTTCGTTCGTGATTGGCGTTTGCGCCGAGTATGCCATCGAATGAGCATCCACTTTTCCGTTTCCGACGTCGAAGCTTCTCTTGTAGTATCCCTGAGGTTGGACACCTGCCGCGACATTGGTTGACCAGCCTTGATTAGCGCTGTCAATCCATCCGGTGGATGGTTGAGTGTTCTTGCTAAAGAAATTGGCGGCTCCAGTACTATTGCCGCCGAATAATCTTTGGAAAGCCAACACTCCGGCTAACAGGAGGGCAATCTTTCCTACAAACAGGGCTTTCGTGACCAGGAGACCGAGACCTCCGAGAAGAATTGGAATCAGGGCGAACAGTTTCACTCCCGCCGCGGCGATCAGAGGCAGTGCCATTTTCTTCATTTTGGCGCGACCTGAGAGAAAATAAAAGTTCATACATGGAAATTAATTTGGGAGCAGAGACATTTTTTATTTGGAGATTTGAAAATCTGAATTCCTATTGGGTATTTACAAAAACAGATTGTAAAGTCTTCGTTCGATTTCAATGCGAAGATATTTAACTCGGAGAATAATAGATCATCTGGAACAACAGGATTTCAAATCTGAATAGTCAATTTGACTACTCTCAGCTCAAAAGTTGTTGAACGATCTAAAAATAATCTTTCCTCCAAAGGAAAGATTCGGAATATATATTTGAAGAAATCGAAGCTCATGGTAGTTAAAATGAAACTTCACTTCTTCCCCAAAATTTAATCAGCAGACTAAACTTTGAAGAATCCAACTTAACGATCCAAGCATACTTATTCTAGTCCGTTAGCCAGGAGATTCTAAATGCCGCTAACTAATAGTCCCCGGACGCAGTGAGATTTTTCTCTCTCGCGAGAGGGGCAGTGTATGTATAATTTCAGAAGGAAAGCGAATGGAGGAGGTGGTGCGCGAGGAACGAGTTTATCCGGAACAGGTTGCCGCGGCGCGTGTAGATATCACGAAGGTGAAAGGCTCGGCGAACAGTTTATTCGTTCATACCGGTGACGCGTCGGGGCGTCATCGGGGTGGGAAGGATTACGTAATGGGAGCGTCTCTATCATAGCGCAAGATAGAAAGTTACCTTCGTCAAGAGCGCGGGAGATTGAACCCTCCTCGGGCATGCTCAGCTTCAGACTGTGGGACTTCATGAACGATACGACCGATTCGAACAACATAGTGGCGAGTTTGATGGCTCTGTCCGACGTATCTCTCGGCAGTTCGTTCATCATTTCGACCTCCGTCTTCAGATCTTTACCGCTGCGTTCCACTGCGCAGGAAAATGTGATGTATTTTATGTATTAAAGGACCGAGCTGTTCGAGAAGATTTTAGAAATGTTTAGAAAGTTGATAGATTCAAGTTTTGGGCAATTAAATTTCAACAGCAACTCTACGATGGATAAGAAAGGAATGTTATAAAAATAAAATGTCAATGCTTGTAAACCTCGCAATAAACTGACCATCAAGGGCTAAAAGTTTCGAGAATCAAATAAATCTTTGTTAAAGATTCACTTGGCGTCAACGCATCCTCGAGGGATTAGAATTTCGAGAACTAAGTAATTACGAGTTTAAGGGATTCTATGAACTTATAAAAAATTCGACTCACTTGGCGTTTCCCTCACAAACTTCACACCATCGACAATCTCGATATCACTAGACCTGGCAGCTCTATCCAACGCGCTGACGGTCTTGACGAACGCGCAGCTGAACAGCTCGTTCTCTTGCTCGAAGCAATCGAGATTCCTGTTCAACTGAACTGTGCTAGAATCAGGCATGGGCACAGCCATCGCGGACGCGGCAACAAGTCCCACCAAAACCACCAATTTGTTCATCTTTTCTTCCTGGTCCAACTTGTCCAACCTTGACGATTATACGGAGACCGCGTTGAAGAAGATCGAGCACGTCCCTCGGAAAATTTTCGGAACAAAGTGTGATCTGACCCTCCGTAGCTTCTATCTTTATAGGTGTTCACCAGCTGGGACCCTCCCCAATATCCCCACTCTAACTGATGACGCATGTGACGACACATGCGACCAAGGCACACGAGGCATCATCGCTGGTACACGTCGTTACTCACCTCCCCGTTAGAAGAAACTTTCTTCAATAATTTTTTAAACAAACGACCACTTCCATGTTTCGGCGGAGTAGTTGCTACTACTAGGCGGATCTCTGTGTAGACGATCGCTGATATCTGGTAGTCCAGCTAGATTTGGGTTAGTAGGGGAGACGATGACGCCACAGATGAAGGGACATCTTCATGGCCGGTCGATGCACTACCAATTTGGATGCATTCGAATAAATTAATGTCACACTGCGTATGAAAAGAATTTTAATCCTTCGAGAAAAATTATTGGTAATCATTGATTAATTTTGAAAAAATTATCCTCTTCGTTTTGTTGATTAGAGGAGAAATTCTATTTTATTGTAAAAAATTTTTTCCAGTCGGGAGAGAATCGAGATT